GCGAGAGGGGCGGGCGCGCGCCCTGGGGGCCGAGCCCAGGGGACGCGTCAAGCGCGCGCCCGCCGGCCTGCCCGCTCGCCGGCCGCTCCTCGCGTCCTCCTCAGGCCGCCGTCTTCCTCACAGCCGCCCTCCGGAGAGCAGGATTCCAGTCCTTGCGGCCCCGCAGGCAGCGGCCCGCCCCTTCGCCCTGAGATTCACCTCAGGGAACTCTCCCCCCACCGCAGACGACCTCTTCGCTCTCACCCCTGCTCCCCTCATGCGCAGCCGTCCTTCATTCACACCTTCGGCTAGCTCCACACATCCAGTCACCTTTCCTTCCCTGCGCCTGGACAGCAGGTTCTGTTCTGGGTCCCAAGACTCATCAACATGTCACCGAAGCAGGCCCGGTGTCTTCAAGGTTTCCAGCGAGAGCTTCCTTCCAGTCAGACAGGACCGTAGGGTGTCTAAGTCAACCGAACGGGGCCGCGGCGGTCTACTAGTTTAAAAGGCACAACACCCTGGTTCTTGTTTGCCAGGGCCGCCATTGAGTACCACAGACTATAGCTTAATACAGTGGAAATGCATTTCTCTCAGTTCTGCAGACTGACAGTCGAATGAGATCAAGACAGGGTGAGCGTGGGTTTCTTCAGAGATTTTTCTCCTTCGGTTGTGGATGTCTTTCTTCCGTGGCATTTCACGGTCTTCCCTTTGTATCTTCTATTCAAATTGCTCCTTTTGTTTAAAAAGTTAACTTATCTTTATTTTATGTGTGTGAGTGTTTTTTGCCTGCATGTGTGTTCGTGCCTGGGGCCTGCGGAGGCCAGAGACAACATTGGGTCCCCTTGAGCTGGCGATACAGAGTGGAAGGATTGTAGTGGCTGGGCATCAACCCTGGATCCTCTGCAGGAGCAACAAGTGCCCTTAGCCGCTAAGCCATCCCTACAGCCCCCAGCTTCTTTTTCTTATAAGGAAGATGGCTCAGTGGGTAAAGGCACTTTATAACAGGACAACCTGAGTTCGATCCCCAAGGCCGATATGGGGGAAGAAGATGAATGACTCGGAAATGTTTTCCTCTGACCTCCACACGAGTGCCACGGATACACGAATAAACAAACAAATAAATACTTTATTATTTTAAGAAACAAAACCAAACCCTGAGTGGCGAAGCGATTGGGAGATAAAAGCAGGAGGTTCAAGGTCAACCTCTACTACCCAGGAATTCAAGGCCAGCTCATGCGTTAAGAGATCCTATCTCAGCGAGGCTGTGGTAGCACAGGCCTTTATTCCCAGCATTCAAGAGGCAGATCAGAAGGCAGAGACAGGCAGATCTTGTGAGTTCGAGGCCAGCCTAGCCTACAAAGTGAATTCCAGTACTACATAGAGAAACCTTGTCTCAAAAAAAACCAGAAGAAGGGAGGTAATCCCTGCACTTGGGAGGCAGAGGCAGGTGGATTTCTGTGAATTCAAGGTCTACACAGTAAATTCCAGGACAGCCAGAGCTACACAATGAGATCCTGTCTTGGGAAAGAAAAAACAAACAAACAAACAAAAAAAACAACAAATAAACAAAGAGAGAGAGAAAGGGAAAGAGAAGCTCCAAAAATAAAATAAAACAAAAAGCAAGTCAGATATTAACTTAAAAAAATAATAATGGGGCAGAATGTTGGAGGAGAAAGTATTCACAAAATAAACGTGGGCTATAAACATGAGCTCAGCCAGGTAAGGCCCCTGCTTTGCAAGCATGAGGTCCTGAGTGCAGTCCAAGTTAAAAAGAAGCAGCAGTAGGAAGCCAGGCATGATGGCCTACACTTGTAATCCTAGCACTGAGGAGGCACAGACAGGCAGATAATGGGAACTCACTGGCCAGCCAGCCTGCCTAGCCTATGTGGAGGGCTCCAGGCCAATGAGAGACACTGTTCCAAAAACAAACAAACAAAAGAATGGATAACTCCTGTGAGAGCTACTGAGATGTGCACAAACACACACACACACTCACACACACACACACACACACCAAAAAGAAAAAAAAAAAAACTGGTGTGCAACTAAAGGAAAAGAAAAACCACCAGCTAGAAACTCAGGGTATTTTGTTTTGGTTTGGATTCTGTTACTGTTGTTTTGAGACAATGTCTCACGTGCCCCAGGCTGGTCTGGAACTTGCTGTGTAACTGAGAATGACTTCAAACTACTGATTCTTCTGCCTCCAGTTCTCAAATACTAAAGTTACAGGCATATGTCACCATGCCCAGCATAAAGCTCAAGTTATGTTGTTTTCTTTAAATTTTTATTTTTATATTAATTAGTTTATTCACTTTGTGTCCCAGCTGTAGCCCCTCCCTCATCCCCTTCCAATCTCACCCTCCCTCCCTCATCTCCTCCCATGCCCCTCTCCAAGTCCACTGGTAGGGGAGGTGCTCCACCCCTTCCATCTGACCCTAGCTTATCAGGACTGGCTGCAATGTCCTCCTCTGTGGCCTGGTAAGGCTGCTCCCCCCTCAGGGGGAGGTGATCAAAGAGCCAGCCACTGAGTTAATGTCAGAGACAGTCCCTGTTCCCCTTACTAGGGAACCCACTTGGATACTGAGCTGCCACGGGCTACATCTGAGCAGGGGTTCTAGGTTATATCCATGAATGGTCCTTGGTTGGAGTATCAATCTCAGAAAAGACTCCTGTGCCCATATTTTTTGGTTCTGTTGCTTTCCTTGTGGGGTTTTTTATTTTTTAATTATGGAGATATGTACATGTTTGAGTGTGGGTTTATGTATGTGAATGTGCGCACGAAGGCCAGAAGAGTACCTCTGGTCCTGTGGAGCTAGGATAAAGGATGGTTATGAACTGCTGGATGTGGGTGCTGGGAACTGAACCTTGGTCTTCTGCAAGAGAAATGCATACTCTTAATGGCTGAGGCATTTCTCAAGCATTTAAAAACCAAGGTTCAAGTTTTTAAACCTGGTAGCCAACCTTCCTGTCCTCCTCACAGTATTTCCTTAAACAATTTCAACAATGTTGGTGGAACTGGGAATAGAGCTTAGCTGGTAGAGACCTTGTGTAGCATACAGGAAGCCCTGGCTTCAATCCCCAGCACTGCATAAACTGGTCAGAGTGGCATATGCCTGAAGTCCTAGCACTAGACAGGCGGATTAGAGGTTCAAAGTCATCCTCGCCTACATACTGAATTAAAGGCTAGTCTGAGCTATATGTGACCCTGTCTCAAAACAAAACCCAAAAGTGTTCACATTAGCTTAGAAACTGGAACATGAAATACGTAGTTCCAATTAGGACAGCCATGTTGCACCCTTCAAATATCCCAACCCTTACTTGATTATCTCTGTCTCATTTTCAAACTCCCTCCCTCCAAGACACCCTTTACCCTCTTCCTAGTCACCCTTCTTATTGAAGTTCTGAAGTCAATAAATTGCCATATGTCTCAGTTCAGGAGGCCCTTCCACTCTACTTCCTGCTGTGGCTAAGAAGCCACGCCTTCATACCACTTCCCCTTCATGTCTCTGCCAATGGCTGCTAACCCCCTCTACCTCACACACTTCCAGGAAGGAGGTGGGTAGAGAATTTACCTCTACTGTGAATACTTGAATTATTATTATTTTTCTTGTTAAGTCCTCTTGTCCCTTGGCCACCACTCTAGGGCCTCCTTTGATGATGCAATTAACTCATCTTCTTGTTTATATCTCAGTCCAAGCCTGGCTTCCTACTGCTCTATAAATTCTTGAGGAAAGGTCTTTCTGAGGCCTTATGCAGGTACTGAGATTTGTGTCTCTGTTTCCTAACAACCTACTGGGTATCAAATGCATTTGGGGAACAGAGCTTATGAAATGAATGAGTGAGCAAGTGAATGTGTGAATGGTGGAAGCTGCAAATGGTACGGTGTTGCAGTCTAGGTAAAGTGCCAGCTTCTCTGGGTGCAGGGTTTTTTGTTTGTTTGTTTGTTTGTTTGTTTGTTTTGTTTTTAATCAGATGAGTCTAGGCTCCAATTCCCATCCTTTAACTTACTAACTCTAAGTACCTTGGGCATGTCCCCTCACCTGCTCAAGGTTATCCCAAAAAGGAGGCTGAATCCTACAAGTGCATCCAGTATATGTTCTTGCCCGTCTGGAACAGCGTGAGCAAATGCCCAGTGGTTACTAGTTCTCCTTGTTCTGCATCCTTCGCCAGCTAAAGCCCAGAATGCAGTGTCTCTGTTGTCCTCCTGGGGTTGCCCCTTGAGGTTTAATGAGCTCAAGGAGAGCCCTCAGGGACTAAACGTGTTTACCTGCTCATACCCGAGCCACTCAGAGAGAAGTACTTAGCTCACCTATCTGGAGGAGAGAGCTGGGTACACAGAATGTGCTCAGTTAAGGCTGACAAATGAAGATAACCACTTGAACTTGTAGGTGCTGTCACAGAGGCAGGCTAAGCCAAGGCGATACTCACTGGAGGATGCTGAGCTCACAGGGAGGATTCCAGCCACCAGTCTGCTTGTGACACTCCACCCTTGTCTCTTCTTCTTATCTGTTGGTACTTTGACTCCACAACATCCCTTCCTACCAGCTTTTCTGAAAGCCCATTGCTTGCACACCGAAAATTGACTTCTTTGTGCCTGACCAACTGCA